GAGATTTCGATCCTTTGAGATTTCGAATGCAGGCGTCGAGTTCGAGGAAAGAGATCTCTTGATCCAGGACCAAGACAGTGTGGTCAATATGATCAGAGGCAGAATCCTGGGGAGAAATATTTTTCGGTAGGAGTTCCAGATTTCTATATGAGGACCGGCATCCCCTGGTCCAGACAAGGGTTTGCACTTCCTGACTGCCATCCAGAAGTCCTTGGTCTTCTCCATCCATCAGAAGTCCAAAATTTTATTCCCCTAAAATAATCAAACATTAAACGACTCTCAGTATTCCCAACACCGAAGAAATGCTGTATCAGCACACAGTGCATCGCTCCCGCAAATTTCAACACGTTCAACGACCGATTTTGCGGCTATTTCCCAATCAATTCATAAAAGGATATTCTGGAACTTCGTGGCTTTTACCACGAAGCAAAAACTGCTACGAAGAACATTCAGTCGTTAGCCAGAATTCGGAAATATAAGACCCAGCGGAAATAGCTCGCGGAATCGATCGGATAGTATTCAACTCCGGTAGTAATTCGATAAATTAGTATCGATACTACGTTTACGGTGACTTTTCGTGTGAAATTGGTCGGAAAAGTGATCGTTGGTGCTGATCTGGGGAGTGACCTCGCTAAAATCGAGAGCAGCAGCTTTTCTTGCGCATAAAGGGACGAAATTAAAATTCAATTTATTAAATAGTGCTGACGTGCTCAATTCAAACTGTTAAAACTCTGTATCAACTTTTGTTACACTAGTGAGTGAAAGTTTATCTGAGTGCACGAGTATACACAAGTTTAGTGTCGAAAGTGTGAGAAAAGAACAGAAACTCACAACCAAAAACAGTTATCAAAAATAGTGATTCGAACTTGACTAGCAACGTAAGGACCGATTTGAATTTGGATAAAGTTTACATCGAGTGAGTACCTAATCCTTAAACTTAAAAATTGATAGGAGATTTTCTAGGGGACACAGATTAGAAAATAAAATATGGTAACGATTTCTGTAAATTCCAATACCATCTTATTTTGAAGATTATACGTAAAAATTCCTCAAACATAAACAAATCTTTTGGTTTTTTCGAGAACCTTTTTACTTCCTGGGTATTCCTTAAAATCCTCCCCATATTTGCTTTTCATTTGCAAAGAAAAAGATAAGACTAATAAATGCAGTAAGCGTCGTCCTTCCCTTAAAAAATAAAACAAGATAAATTATAAATTCCGATAAATTTTGGACGATTTTAGCAAATGGTTTAGAAATTAAAATCATTATAATTTTACCCGTTATTCATCGACGGAGATAACGTCTCCGGACATAACAGCATCAATGATTTGCTTTTCATACATGTTCTTCTTGGTTTTTGTTAAAGATTTGAAGTTCTTCTTCAGTTGGTTGAGAATCAATTTGTCTTCACTGTTGAAATGCGAGGCGAAGCAGGCTTTCAGGGCCTTCTTGACTTCATTTTTCAGGGTGTCATAATCATCATCGAACCAGGGTTTACGATGAGTCTTATTTTGAGTTCTTGTAGACGTAGAAGAGGGTTTTGAACATGAAACGAGGCCAGCGGATCAAGCGGCTTTGTAGATGGCATCAGCAGTTGCAACGAAAGACAGCTGGAGATGATGGGAGACTGACAGGTCAGAATGGATGGAAGGGGGCGGGAGAGACTGAAGGCCATTTTGGAATTTGTCGAAATCACTGGGTTTAAGGGAAAGTTTCGATGTAGACGGGGTGGGATTAACCGGGTAGGGGGAGAGGGGAGAAGAAGAGAGACCTGTTCTATGTTCCAGGAATACGGCTACGGGCAAGTGATCAGAAGAGGCGACATCGGAGAGCATTTTCAGGTCCTTGACCGAGTCCAGATCAATGGCAGAGCACCAAACTGTGTCGATGACGGACTTCCCTTCCGTATTTTGTGTAAGTGAAGTTGGCAGGGTTGTCGCTCGGCGTTCTACCATTTAGGATAGTGAGCCCAAATGACGACATGAAGTTGAGGGTTGGGGTGCATCTCTCGTTCGTAGCTGTGTCCAGGGTGGACATTGTCGGCAGAAGGCAGGTGTCTTCAAAGAAAGAGTCGTCAACTGCAGCGACAGTACCAACACGAGCATTCCAGTCACCGCCAATCAGAAAAGAAGCATCCTCGTTCCAGGCCTGGAGGTCCTTAATAGCTTCCTGGAGCATGGAGAGAGCAAGTGGGTAGTTAAAATTCTTGTCCGAATGAAAATACACTGAACCAAGAATAAAACTTGACTCAATATCCTGGACCGTGAGGCATAACCACCACGGTGTATATTCAAGTATTGACTGGCTGAGGAACTTTCTGATTGCCACCAGTAAGCCGCCACTGCCTCTGCCTCTATCCTTGTCTCTAACAGCGTCAGACCAGTAGCAAGTATAGCCATTTAAAAATTGTGGAGGCGGATTCGGCGTTGACAGAAGAATCATCTCGGAAATGCAGAGAATATCTGCTAGTTCAAGCTGGACCAGGTCAAATACATGTCAAAATCCATTTGTGTTCCAAAAAATTATAGGTAGCTCCCCAGAGTCCAACGGACTGGAAGAAGAGGTGTGAACGCCGACTCCAAATTACTTGCACCTCGCCTGCGGGCTCCGGGACGACGAAAATTTGGTGAGTTAGTCGGTGGGGGAAGAGGCATCGTTTGGAGAAGTGTGGATGATGCGTTGGCAATGGAAGCTATCGAGGGTTGCTGCTTACTCTTCGTGAGATTTCCTTCTCTCTTATTTACGAGGTATCTAACCCTGTCAACATCTAGACGATTGTAGCCGACCTTGACATCGTGACCAATTGTTTTCAGCTCTTTAACCTTATCTGTAAGGGACTTACCCATCATCCTGTCTTTCAGGGTGAGGTCTATGTTGATATAAACGCCGGAAAGTGGATGGGTCTTCAGAGCCTCCCAGATCGCCAGTTTGGTATCTAACGAGTCTAGCTCAACTTGAATCAGGTGGTTTTCCCCTCGTCTCGAAAGGACTGTGGCAGATCGAGGAACTGTCTGAATTTCAAGAGCCTCGGCCAGGAATTTTTCAACATCCTTCCTCGGGTTACCTTGAGTTTTGAGGCCGGAAATTATGTATATTGGTCAGCTTGGATTGTTGTTCGAGCTCTTCTACTCTTTCTTCCATCTTAGTTGTCAAATCTTGGAGGACATCCTGAGTAGTAGGGGTGAGCCATTCCTCTGCTTTAGCAGCAATTGAGGCTTGGATAATTTCATTGATGGAGGATTTGTCTGGGTCAGAATAGTTATCGACTTTGGACTTCAAGTTCGTCACTTCCTCACTCAGCGAGGAGTATTTGGCTTCGAAACATGCCTTGACAGACGCGATTTCCCCCTTGACCTCGGATGTTAGTTGCTCGATCTTACTGTCATGATGTGCGGCTGTGTCCATGATCAATTTTGTGAGAATATCGAATCTACGATCGGACAGAGCATTCGACTCCTCTATTTTCCCCATTATGCGATCTGATTTGCTCAAATCGTCCTGATCGTGGTTCTTGGGGGACGTGGAGAGCTTAGAATCGCTCATAGTTAGCAGAGTGTTGGAGGGGGTTTCTGTGTCTTCAGATCCCGTGCCAAGGAGCTCGGAATGTCCTGGAGAGAGTTCTGTAAGAGGGGTTTGAGGGATTTGAGGGATTCTTGGGGCTTTTAGGGTCCTCGGAAACTCGGGTGAAATGTGAGATTTGTTCAGTTCCTCCCTCTTCCTCTTGCTGGTTTCCTGGTTTTTGTATAGGGAGTTGTTCATGGACGGTGTAGACGGGGAAGCCAGTTTTTTCCAACTATCGGCGGTAGATAGTCTTCCTCTCGAAGAAGTTGGTGAAGAACCTGCGCCGGAGGAAGGCAGGGAGCCCTTGACATTCGAAATTGGTGCTGGTTTATCGACCGGAGACTCACTGCATGATCCCAGTACCAGCTTGGGCGCCGAGATGACGCTAGTTGACGACGACATTAACAAAATCTCCTGAAGCTCTCCTTGAATGATGCTAACCTCAATAGTCAGATGTCAGATTCCAAACCGTGTAAAAAACAAAGTATTTATCCCACCTCATTTATGAATTTCTCATTGGAAAGCCCGACTCAAAATTGAGGCAGTGTCACCAGAGAGGAATCCCAGTCCTCCCAGACCAGACGACATTAAACCGAAATAAATACTACAGCGCTACAGCGCTCCCAAAACCAATTTTCGTTACGCCTGGATTTTTTAAAAAGGGATTCCATTGGTAGTAAGCTTCCGAATGGATCCATAGCAATTCCCTCCGAAGACATCGAGATGAGTATTTTGAAAAAAAAAATGAAATTGATCAAGTAGTTTTAGAGACATTGACCAATATACTTTTATAGAAAAAGTTGAATATCTGAAGAACTACTGCACCGATCGGGCTGAAATTGTGCATCAAACTTGAGCTTAATAGTACCTAGTATGTGTCAAAATTTCACGTCCATATCAATGAATTTTCCCATATTGCTTCCGAATGGAAGCATTGTGACCGATGATTGTTGCGATCTTCCAATTTTGCCTGGAAATGATGTAGAATATCATGAAATGTGAAGATATGATGTTTTTAGAAAATGTGTGTAGGTATGTCCGAAAGTGTGAGGTCATTTTTCGGAAAATTTTTATGAATTACACCAAAAACAAGCAGTTGGCCGAGCCTATTCGCCAGGAGACATTTGACCATTACTTTTTTCGTTAGTTCTCTTCTTTCTTTTTATTTCTACCAATTCCATGGGTAGTATACTTCCTAACGGATCCGTAGCAATCACATTAAAAATCGTTCACTATGAATGTAGCAACTTGGAAGTATGTAATGTTTGATAATTTTTTTTCTCATCAGATCGGAAATAGACACAAAATTTCGAATTATTTCAATATTAGATTTTCTCTTATCTACAATTTTTTTCTTGTTTCCAAAATTTCACAACAAAATTTTTCTGATCGATCTTTTTATTCATCATGATAGGTATTTATTTAAACAAGCAGCAGAAGAAAAGAGTAGTAGTAGTAGTTTATTACATTTTTTGGAATACATATATTCATAAAATGTGAGGTTCTGCATGATATAATGGATAGTTATACAATCAAGTCCGATCTTGAACGATATAATAATAATAGTGTAAGAAATCTGGAACGTAATGAAATAGTTTAAGAAAAACTGGCCAATAAGCAAGACTATCAACAACAGCGTTATCAAGGTTTTGTCGTAATTACCCGAAAACAAGAATAGAAAAAGAAAAAGCCGCAAATAGAAAAAGGTCTGAGCACAGTAAGTAAAAGTAAAGGGGACGGGATAGATTTAATCAATGGCAAATTGAGTGCGATTCGTAGACCGTCTTGAGGAAGAGGTAAACATCCTTCATGCATCTGACGTCCTTCGAGCTAACTAGCTTATGGAGATTGTCCATCGCTGAGAGATTGGCTGAGAGCCAGGGGAGAATATAATGCTCTCGGATGTGCCTATAAGCTGAGCAATAAAGCAGAGTGTGAACCCAAGTGTCGAGTTCACCTAATCTGTATCTGAAACAGATTAAATTTGGGTCTTGAAAGAATAATTTTCGGTTCAGAATAATACGTTTGGAATGGCTGGTAGATAACCTGAGCTGCATTATCGTTCTCACAAGGTGAATCGGGCATCTTTCAGGATAGAAGCTCAAAAAGTTGTCCTCAATTTTCCTCACCAATGGGATTTGAATGTGTGCTGATCTGTTACACCGTTATAGGCCCTCGACTCTGGAATCCGCAGCCAGCTTGAGGATCAGATATTTTTTCTTTTCCCAAAAGGTCCAATCACTGGATTGCCAGGTGTCGTCTGTGATATGACCGTTTGTTATCGAATCCAGTTGACTAATCCAGTTATAATGAGCAGAGGATATTGTGGACTCATTTAATTCCAAGAGTCTCAAGAAACATATTTTCGGCAAACGATGCGGTTCCATCTTCAGAATCTTTATAATCCAGTTGATACTCATTTTGACGAGAGTCTGGGTAACACAGGCTAAACCAAATTCCAGACGAACTAAGTATCCTGGAGTATTTCGGGCAAGATGGAAGAGTATCGAAGAACGAACAAATGAGCGCTGTACAAGAGCACCGATGAAACAACGCTTTCGTGCAGTTTCCGTGAGCTGCTCCATGAGTCGGCTTTTGCCGATGCCAGGACAGAAAAGCCTGTCATTGTCCCTGAAAAAAAGAGTAAAAGATTGAAGAAAGCAGCAGAGCAAAAGAAGAAATGGGAACTGGAAAACACGGAGAGAATGAAGAGAGAAAATGACGAAAAAAAACAAACGCCAGAATAGATAATTGTAAATAGTAAAATCATGATTTGAAGCACTGTATACATACAAAATACCGCTGGTATCTCTACAAATTGATATCTCAACTATCCTAACAAAATTACCTGTGGAAGAACACATGATGATAATAAAGGAAGGAACGAAACTCGAACCCATTTTCAATACGAACTTTTATTGTCACGAGAGGAAACGTCTGTCCAAATTTCAAATTAATAATAATGATATTTCAATTTTCATACAGGCTAAAGCGCGCATACGTTTTGATTGATCTAGATAGAGGACACTGAGACGAGTATTTAAAAAAAAAAGACACATTGAAATCGGTTGCGTAGTTTTTGAGACATAGCCCATAATAGGTTTTCAGGAAAAGTTGAATATCTCTAAAACTCCTGGACCGATTGAGCCCATCTTTAATACCAGTCTTCCCTGCTACAAGCGGAAGATTTTGTCCACATTTCAAGTTTATATTTCAATTTTTGCGAAGGCTAGAGTGTGTAGAAAGTTTTTCATGAAAAAACAGAAAATCGGGGATATCTCGAAAACTTAGTATGGAGGGCCATATATGTTTTGATTGATCTAGATAGAGGACATTGGGACGAGTATTTTGAAAAAAGACAAATTGAAATTGGTCCACTGGTTTGGAGAGATTCGCGAAAAACGATTCACAAACAAATTGCTTTTTCTCAAAAACGGTTGGACCGATCGAGCTGAAATCGTGCGCAGAGTTAGTCCTTAGAAAGACCTATAATCGTACAAAATTTCAGATTTTTTGGAATCATTTTACCCCACTATTCTTTCAGTTTTCAAAAAGGACATCTGGCCCTGGAGGTGTTCACATACACACATGGTGCCCAAACTTCGTATTTTTACGTTTCAGACCATTCTACATCGTTTCCAATCAAAATTAGAGAATGTGGAAATCGGTCGATTGCAATGCTTCCCGTTCGGAAGCAAAAGAACTAAAGTTCAAGCAAGAAATCTGAAATTTTCACCCACTATCCGGCTCGAAGGACCACTGTTTGGTGAGGAACTGGAGTTAGGGTGGATGTGGAATGAAAATGTGGATGGAGATATTGGGAAAATTATCCTAGGCATTTTATAAAAAATCTGAATATATTTTCGTGGGATCGAACCACTTGTCACTATTGCCTTACACTCTTTGGTAGGGGAGGGTGGGGCAAAACGGCCCCCCTTCAATTGTCAATAACTTGTGAATGACATTTTGAAAATTCCCAGTTTCAACTTCATTTTGAAGATAATTTTTCATTCTTCAAAACGAGCTCTAACTCATCCCAATCGGATTATTGAATCGGAAAATATTGACGATTGAAGGGGGGCCGTTTTGCCCCATCCTCCCCTATAATTAATGTTGAATGTCTAATTTTCACTGATAATTGTCTTTTCACTTTATCTCGTTGAGTCACTGAAATTATACTGAACTTAATCAACAAGTTGATGTACTGAACAAAGATATTAAATTTAGAATACTAATTGACTGAATACTTTAGCTCATTATCGTAACGATACTTCTACACTACTGACTACTGACTCTTCCGGGTGCCGCGCTGACCTGTGTCCGTTGACCCGAAAGTTCACGGAGATTTTCGGAGATGGCCGAGTTAGTCGACCGTGACCATTATGGAGATTTAGGCTGTATTTCGAACAAATACATTGAATAAATAGTATTTTCTTTTGTTAATTAGAAAGTATCTCTTTTGATTTATCTGACCCCAAATAATAGAAAATAGTCCGAACAAATTTAATTATCGAATATTAATTGATAAAATAATAATTCTGGTAGAATTTAATAATACTTTGGCCCGAACAAAATTAAAAGTAAGTATAAATAATAATAATTTAATGCCAAAAGACATCTATTGTGGAAAATCCACCTTGTACGTGATTTAATTCTACAAGACCGTTGAAACTGGATTATTTTGAGAAAATAATTTGAAAGTTTAGTGAAATAATTAATTTAATCCGGTTTCAACGTCACAATGTAACCAGATCAAAAGGAAGTACAAGAAACATCTTACCCTTGTAACGTATATTCATCAAAATGTCTGACTCTTGGAAGGCGTAAAATTCGACTTATCTTATGAACTGAAATACTAGCCCCATTCAACTTGGGCAGGAGTAATGGCCGGTATTATATCATTATATAATATGTGCATGAAACATAACGTTGACTAACGACCATACTTTTAAGGATGTTCTACACCCTTTCTGCCAAAATTCACGTTTTTTTCATTTTTCTGGCAAACTTATGATGGAATTGACGTGAAAAAATATAACGTTTTTGCGTTTTGTCATTATTTAATGACTGACGAAATTTTAAGATGGCGCGAACATTTTCCTGCGTTTTCTCTAAACTTTTAAAAAGAATCACAAAACTGTAGAAAAAACGCATGAAAATTATCGCACCACTACGCAACTTCGTGAGCCATTAAAGAATGACAAACCACAAAATCGTTATATTTTTTCACGTCACTCCCATCGATAATTTTGCAGAAAAATGAAAACAACGTCAATTTTGGCTAAAAGGGTGTCGAACATCCTTAATAATGAGAATTGATTGAAAATTTACACCTCTCAAAAAATTAGACCACCCGAACTCTATCTCCATCACAGCTATGACATTCCATCAAATATTGCATAATACAAAATATAGAAATCATAAATTTATGTTATATGACTTTTGAAGTCTTACAGAGACGAAAATCATTGGTAAAATGACGATATGTAATTTTTTTGACAAAAAGATTTTTGGATGAATTGCTCTACGCCCGGATGTACTGAATCGATTGACACAAAATTTTATACACAAGCTTGGGTCAATAATGCAAATAAGTAGCCAGAATCTCAGATGTTTACTTCAAGTTTTACGTGTATTATGGACACCACATCAACTTTTGAATGAAAAAAACAGAAAAACGCTGGTATCTCGGAAACTTTGTATGGGCGGGTATGCATATTTTGATTGATCTTGACAGAAGGTACCATGACAAATATTTTGAACAAAAAGTGAATCGGCCCAGAAGTTTAGAAATTATTGAGTATAACAGTGTTTCTTTCCGAACGGGAAGCAAAAGGACTAAAGTTCAAGTTAGAAATCTGAAATTTTGTCATTTAATTGGTATTGCTTTGGAGCATTTTGGGGCGCAGTTTCAGCTCAATCGGTGCAGTAGTTTTCAAGATACAGCAATTTCTCAAAAATCTGTTTTCCTCAATATCTCAAAAAGTACGTGACCGAATTGAATTTCTTTTACGTCCAAATATTCCTTGTGATAATATCTATCGAATCAAACCATAATATAGCTACGTCACTAGGGATGGTTTGGTAATAATCAGCATTTTTCATTTTGATGAGAAAATCGGTGTACGCACAATAACTGCCTGAAAAATCAAGATAGGAAGTTTAAATGTTGTAGGATTTTAGCTCTGATGGTGCTATTGGCTGAGATTGTAGTTGGATAGAATCGCATAAGTAGTTTAGGAGATATTCAACTTTGTCTGAAATACTGTTATACTCAATAATTTCTAAACTTCTGGGCCGATTCACTTTTTTTTCAAAATATTTGTTTTAATGCTTTGAAAATATAGAATAATATTATTTCCGTCTCTGAGAAATTCCCTGGGAAATGGAAATCTTGATCCTCTTTGTTCATGGTACTTTCCCCAGGAGAAATATGACAGGAGGTACAGTCTAGAATTTTGGGTTTTTCTCTCCCTCGAAAATAGTCTCACAGCGTTTACTCTCATAAAACACCCTTCGGTCACCGTCCCCTACAACAACAACGATTTTCTGAAATTTTGGTCCCTCACTTTATAACTTAATCCTTTACAGCCGGGGCAATAATAGTATATTGTGTCATACGGACCGTAGACGGAGGTTTGCGATGAGTGTGAAGTTAGCAGCACGAGGCATCGGTGCTGCATCGGTGCTGGAAACCCCCCCAACTGTAGAAAAACGAAATGACAAGTGAAGAGAAAATATTGAAGAAAAAGAGATGCAAAATCCTGAATTGAGATTCGAAAGAACGAATGCAAAAGTTGTAATTCACGGAGTCTGTCAAAAACATTCAAAAAACATCTAGATGAGAATGGAAATCTTTCTCCTCCTGAGTCCGTGAATGCCCATAACCAAATAAGCCTATAAATAAAATGTTATCACGTTCATCAATTGTCCATTCATTTCAGAACCGAATTATTTCAGGAGAAAATGTCGAAAGATTTTCTTTCAGCTAGTTAAATTTAAAAAAAAAATGTCTTTCTACAATTTTCCAAAAAATGAGATGTTCAAATTGTTTACAAACTCTGAAATTTTGAGATTCTCATCATATACCTTTGCTGCTAGATAGTTCCTGTCAGGTGCCTCCTCCAAGAATCTCGCAACGTTTTCATCAGTGAAAACCTCTGATTTTTTAGTCTCGTGATCAGATCTCTTGGCATTTGAACTAAAAAAAACGGTGATTTTCTTGAATTGGGAGATGTCAATAGAATTGTACTGGAGAATAGTCTTATTCAGCATTGAATATATTGCCCAGAGTGATTTTGGAGCCATTCCAGGCTTCTTCGTTTGATCCTGGGGAATAC